GAGCCCCCTCAGGACAGATTGCTGCACAAGATTATGATAGGCCTTAGTTTGAATAAGAAAAGAAAACACTCTGAAGGATACTTTGACTTAAGGTAGTACCGGTTTCTTTTCCTATCCTAAGCATTCTGTGTTTTATAGCAAAGACAGATTTGGCAGGGTAGTCCTTTCTGCTCCCCCTTGACAATGCTCGGGACTCAACTAGCTGGAGGGCATGTAGGGGTTGTACAGTCCGGAGCCCTTGCCTGGAAGGCAAATCTACATGTTAAACTCCTGGCAGGATGGCAGTCTGTCTAACTAATCAGTTCTTTTTTTTTTTTTTTGTCCCTGGATCAATAGTGTTTCACTGCTTCACAAATAATTTTCCTTTACATGTTGCATTTCCATCTGAGAACACATTTGTACAAGTCTTTTCCTTTTCCAGCCATTATCTATGCTTTGTTACTTCTCAGAGTAACCCTGCCTCTGCTCAGACTTGATTAAGCCAACACGTTACAGTTCCCGGTGCGCTTTTTTTTTTCCAGGTAAGCCCGAATGTGCTGAGTTCGATGGAGAAGCAAAGGCGCAGGGAGGAGGAGGAGGAGCGCCAAATCCTTATAGCAGTGCAAAAGAGAGAGCAAGAACAGCTGCTCAAGGAGGAGAGGAAGAGAGAGATGGAAGAGAAGGTCAAAGCAGTGGAAGGTATGTGTAGCCAGAGTGAAACGGAGATGGGAGTCTTAGAGCCAAGCCTGAGATCTTGAATTAAGATTTGCCATTTGTGTTCCTCCCTTACCAGACATGCTAACGAGCATATCTTTTCTTGGACTTAGCTCAGATAAGTTGGCCTTGCTGTCCTGGGTGTAGTTTCTTTTTCCTATCCGTCTTCCTCAATGTTGGGTGTAATGTGCTCTCCAACTGTGTCTTCTTCTTCAAATCGTCCCTCTTTTCTCCCTTTCCATAGCTTTTATCTTTCTCCTGCCATTCATATTACCATACTGATGATGTTCCTGAGCTCTCATACCTTATCGTCTCCCCCCTTGAGTCCTCATGGATTTTCCTGTGTGCAGGTTTTGTTGGCCTTGCTCGTGCTGAATAGCATTTGGTCCTTTTGACCTAATATGTGATGACAGGAGAATCCTTTTGGGCAAGAAAGGGAAGGGAAAGGTACATGAATAGCAAGAGCAGTATTTTCATGTTGCTACCACCCTCATCAGATGGAGCACTAGGCATGAGGGGACCAGGCCAACTAGAGCCCAGGAAGGTGGTAACTTCAGAGGTCGGTCTTGGTTTTGTTGTTTTTACATTGAACGCTAAGTTCAATGCACTCTTGTGCAGGAAACCATCATGGTGTGTTTAGTATGTCCTATTGGCACACAGACACCAGGGACTCAGCCAGTACCTGTAGGTGCTGCTTTCAGAGAAGGCTTGTTCCTTACCTCCTTCTCTCTGCCAGCCTCCTGTACTGGGATTCCTTTATGTGCTGTTTTGGCCACCATAACTGGTGAGTTGTTGCTGTTCCAGGAAAACACTAAACATGTTCAGAAGCCTGCTCTGGTAACGCATAGTGTTATCAGTGTTATGAAGCCATAAGTGAATAAATTATCGGGGGGAAAAAAATAGTTCATGCAAACCCTGTAAACTTTCCAAGACAAAACAGTCTGCTACCAGATGTTTGATAGCAGACCAGATGTTATCTAAGAATAGTTTATTTTACCTGATTACCTTTCTAACCTTTAGAAAATTCAATTACTTGCTTGGCCTTCATATACTTCTGCTTGCCAGTCCTGGCTAATCTGGTCCTTTAAACTCAGAATCATGCAGCTTCCGGATCTGCCACAGATATCTGTTTCACTTGGCAAATTGCTTATTGTCTGTACTTAGTTCCTCATGTGTATAGACAAAATTAATTTTGAAGTTTCAGAAGAGCCTCAAAGGATAAATCCTATTATTCAGACTTGCTGAGGTGTTGCTTGCTGTCAGCCATGTCCTTTTCTGGGTGAGGATGATCACTGCATCACTACACTTGAAATCGCTACGTGCTAGTGAGCCAGAGCCACTCAAAAACCTGGCACAGCATCGGAGTATTTTGTTTTAAGCCAATTCAGCATACGTTACTGCTTTTATTGGCAGGGATGCTGTTATTTTGGTTTGAACAGTTTATTTCAGTTTCAACTCGTCTCCAGTCAGTTTAGGCTAATCAAGAGAATCCTGCTTTTAACCTGGTGCAGAAGCTATTTGGAGAGTTTATTTAAATGGCTGACTTCTTTTGTTAGATAAGTGTGGTAGTTTTCATCCTTAGAATCAGTAGTTATCCAGGTTAAACTTTGAGTTCTTAACCATCTTGCCTTAATATAAAACATACTATCCATTAGCATTTACTTCGACAGGGGACATCGAGTGATTTGAGTCATTTGTTACACTTGTTGAAACTGGACATCCACTAACAGAGCTTTTGGGGTTACAAAGATTTTTCTTGTATTTTGTGGTCTATTTTGAGTTTAGCATTACTTTTGTACGGTGCTCTGTAGAGGGTGGATGTGAAACACAGGGTGAAATATTTGTGCTCTTTGATAAGACTTCATCAGTGCTTCACCTGCTCCTGAGTTTTGGACTATGTCTGTTTTTAGACCGTGTTCCTCTTTTCAGTCTGGGATTTCACTTCCCCCCACTCCAGTGCACGCCCCAGGTAGTGAGACTGCTGCTGGGCCCATCTGTACTGCCTGAATTTATGAGTTAAAGCAGCTTTCTCAATTTCTACCAGATCGCAGGCTAGAATTTTCCAGTTCTGTTCCCAGATGCTGCTGTAACACCACACTCCCACGTATGACTTCCTATCTATTTGTAGTACTTTTTAGGGTACTGATTAGTTTTCACAAGTTGGTGAGCAGGGCTCAATCTAGGCCAACATTAGTGAGCTCTGCTGATTGTGATCTTAACATTATATATTAATTACTTGTAGTGGTAGAGAGACCTGCCATTGATGCTAACTGTGCTCAAGCCTGGTAATGTGGTAGTATTTCCCCATCCATGTCAGCTTACCTGGTCAGGCCCTCAGCAGGCATTGATGACTTTCTAAAATGTACCTCATGGTGCTTGGTGGTTGTTTCCATGAGATTTGCCTTTTGCCACCCAAATTCTTGTTGCATGTTTTTCTCATCTTCTCACAAAGTCATCATAAAAGTGTCATCTAAACGATGCCAATTCTACCAAAGAAGCATGCAATGTGGAACTGTGCTTGCACTGACTCCAATAAGCTCTGCTAACTGTGGTTTCAGGTTGTACATCTCATCATTAAACGTTCCAGCAGATGCTGACAAATGCTGTGAGCCAGCTTAGATGCAAGCCCTCTCCTCTCAACTTCAGTGCTACCCAGACTTCTGTAAAAGGAATTTTGCCCTTTCTTTTACCAATCTGTGTCATATATAGCCATGGACTCTGGAAATAGCCACCCTGCAGCTATGCCTAAGTAGTGTCCATCATCCTGTCAGAGCATGCTTTAGGAGGAAGCAATTATTTGTGGAGACAAACCATGATTTGCAGCGGTGCTACTGGTGGCCACGTCAGCATATTATTGCAACATCACTGTCTCCTTCCCAGCATACAAAGCCGTTCACCTTGTGCCTGGGCACGAGGTGTGCCCATCAACTCCTCTGCAAGGAAGGAGTGTCTGCATTTTTTTTAGTATCTAGGAAAAAAGTTTAGAAGACTTCAGAAGCAGAAAGCTTGTGCGAGCTGTGACCTTCATGTATGAGTAAAGACTATAAAAGTGTGCAGACTGGGACATTTTGGAAATGCCCATTCCCAGATTTCTTGCCCTGCTCCACCCAACCCCCAACCCTCTTGCTTTTGACTAGCAAAGTGAGAGAGCATGTCAATAATCTCCCACCAGCACTGGAGCCTCTTGAGTCTCTGGCATTTTTCTGAGGTGTAGCCTCAGTTAAAGGGTAACAGCCGAGACTCCCTCATCTTTCTTTCCTTCTGGGTGTTCCCCTGATGGGATCTGTTTTCTGTGGTGTAGCTCTTATGACATCTGTCCTCCTGAGCTGTATTTCCACAGACTTCTACTTAAACAGAAAGCTGGTACAACTGCAGGTGTTTAGTGATTCAAATGAATTCCGCTTTCCTATGAGAAGAAGGAAATGAGGTTCATAAGAGCCCATAAACTTTCTATTATGAAGCAGTCTGTTAGCCAGCTGTCTGGTTGCAAACTACAGGTTCTGTTACTAGTGTTGCTTCTTCTGTCTCTCGCCTCTTAAACCAGAGCTGTCCCAGTGGCCCTCTTGGGTGGCAGCTTGCCTCCCTCTGTCCGCTGGCCTATAAGGCCTACCTGAGCAGTCCTTCCAAAACAAGGGATGATGGCAGCAAATATTAATGACCCCAGCTACTCATCCTCACCCAGCTGCTGGAAGTGCTTCCCCCTTCCCTCTGCACTACTCTGCATCCACTTCAGTGCGAAGTCAGCTGCCTTAAACTCACCTGGCTGAGGCGTGCTTATGCCCTGTAGCTGCACGGGCAAGCAGCTGAAGGGTGGTAATTTAGCAAGACAGCTGTTTCCATAGTGCTGATCCATGCCTTGAATGTCTCTCTTTATACCACACCATGGGCAGGAATCTCTCTGGAAGCTGGCTACGAGCAGCTGTATCACAGTAATGCTCCAAAATTGCTGGTGGTAGGGTCAAGGGAAAGTCAAGAGGCATGTTTATTATTCAGCGTACTCTAAGCTACTGTTTCTTTCCTGGAAGAATGAGAACATTTCGCTGGTATTTTTGAGAGCTACAGGAGCTACCTTAGTTTTCCCTGTAGGATATTACTGACAAGGAGTGTTGAACTGTTTTCTCACCTGTCTCCCCACTGCAGAACGGGCCAGGAGGAGGAAGCTTCGTGAAGAGCGGGCCTGGCTGCTGGCACAGGGGAAAGAGCTTCCCCCAGAGCTTTCCCACTTAGACCCCAGTTCCCCTACCAGGGAGGAGCGACGGACCAAGGACCTGTGAGTATGCAGCTGGATATGCAGCACACCCATACACTGAAGCCTGTGCAGTGGGTAGGGTCACATAGGGGTATGGTCCCTCACATGAATGAGGTAAAAGAAAGGTGGGAAAGCACAGAGGAGAGGCTGAGAAATGTCAGGGTCTGATCCACACTAGAGGAGTGTTTGTGGTAAGGCCTGTTTGCCTATATGGAATGGAAGGGAAGATGAGGTAAGAGGGATATGTCTTAAATGCCCTAAATCAGTGTATTCAATACTGCACTTTTCATTACAGCTTTGAATTGGATGATGAGTTCACAGCCATGTATAAAGGTTAGTTTTTCTACCCCAGCTTTCTGCTTTGTATGAGTCTTCTAAAGTACAATAATCCCCCGGGCATCAATGTGTAATTGTTTGCTTTTCTTTTGTTACTGCCAGTTCTAGATGTGGTAAAGGCTCACAAGGACTCCTGGCCCTTCTTGGAGCCCGTTGATGAATCATATGCTCCAAACTACTACCAGATCATTAAGGTAGGGGAAGTGGTACAGCCAGTTTGGCTCATGTTCTTTGACTGGGGTGCAGCTGTTCAGATAGTGTTTTGACATTTTTGTGGAGTGTGTTACCCTCACAGTCACACTGCACAACTCTAGGAGTCCATTCTGGCCTTGCAAGTGTAGTAAATGCAAGGCAAGAGGCCACATCTCCTGAGAGCAGCTCCTGCTCACCATCCGTGTCTGTGAGGAAACTACTAATGTATGCAACTTTGCCAGCCCATCTGCTCTTGCTGTAACTGAAAAGAGCTTTAATTGTGTTTCAGGCCCCCATGGACATCTCCAGCATGGAGAAGAAGTTGAATGGAGGTCAGTACTGCTCCAAGGAGGAATTTGTGGGTGATATGAAGACCATGTTCAGGAACTGTCTAAAATACAACGGTGAAGGCAGCGGTAAGACTGCTAAGTTAAGTTTATCTGTTTGCAGCAGTGATTCAAGACAAGCATTGATCTCTCCCTACTCGTCAGTACTTGATTTCTTTTTCAGGATGTTTGTGGGAGGCAGGAGGAGAGGGTAAAAGCTCTTTAGTTAAGAAGACCTGGGGTTTCAGCCAGATTTCTGGTACAGTGGTTGTGGTGAATTCGGGCCTGGCATGTTAAGGGTGGTAGGTGGTGAAAGGCAGAAGGTGCAAAGAGAGGGAAGTCTGTTTCTTTGTGGGCTAATTCCTTTGTGTGTTTTCCTGTGCCTGTGCTCCTTTGTCTCATAATATCTCAGTAGCACAGACTTTGTGGAGCATAGGAGCATGGTTAGCCCCAATTTTTGTTGAATACCACAAAAAAAAAGTGAGGAATGCGCCAGGCATGTAGCCATTTGGATGGAAAATGTGGGGTTTAGATTCTTTGGCTACTGCATGAACAGCATGAGTCTGCTAATGGGAAACCCTGATTTAATTGCTATGCCAATTAAAATTCTGCATGTTGCTTAGGTAAGAAATCAATTCCCAGATGGTGGGTCATCACTGCAGACTATGTCTCACCAGCACCACCCTGGAAAGGAAGGTGGTTTGAACTACACAGCTTGTCAGAGCGGGCCCCAAGGAAAAGCATTCCAGCACTGCCTTAGGGAGAGCTTTTAGGGAGAGCTATTTTTTTTTTTCCCTCCTGCAGCTCTCCTGGGTTAGTTCAGTGGAAACAACTGTGAAGTCATTTGTTTCAAGGCCTTGTCATTAACACTTCACATGTGTCTTTTCCTTCCTATCTACCTCAGTGCAAAGTCTGAACCTCTCTGAGCAGAACTGTCCTGTGGAAATGACACACTGGGGACAGTAGAATTTGTACTAGCTTTTGTGTCAGGGTCAGCTAGTGCTTTAGAAACTGCACATAGAGAAGTCTCTTTGATTTTTCCATTTTGTAGCATACAATGGAGATTTGAACCAGCCCAAGAAAAGCCTTCCAGTACAATCAAATAGCATTGCTGGAAATTCGCATTTCTTCTCTCAGCTCTCTGGCTGGCTAACTGTGCAGGTCATGCATCTCTGCAAACTGAGGTGGTGTTTAGCATAGTGTAAATCTTGGCACTGCTCTGGAACAGCAGGTTAATGCTGACTGTGCAAATCAGGCCACTAATGCTATTTTGTTATGCCTAAGTGCCTCTTCTCCAGTGAGGTTACTGAACAGATCTGATGCTGTGTCTTGCTTATTGACTTTAAGAACATAAACAAAAGTGGGTTGAAGTCTTTCTCAGATAAAATTGTAGGAGCAGATGTTTTATCTGAATGTGGACCATTGGAAATGAGGAAAGTCTGATGTGGTGTAATGGTTTCGCTCTGTAAGGTTCTGTCCCTGATGTTGCTATTTGTTTGGGTTTTGTGACTACAGAGTATACCAAGATGGCCTACAACTTGGAGAGATGTTTCCACCGAGCAATGATGAAGCACTTCCCTGGGGAAGATGGAGACACAGATGAAGAATTCTGGATCAGAGAGGATGGGAGGCGGGAGAAGAGGAGCCGGAGGACTGGCCGCTCCAGTACTGGCAGCGTCTGGACTCGGTCGCGAGATCCAGAGGGACCAGGCAAGAGGCAGCAACGCCTGGAAAATGGAGGGAAGCCCACGCCGTATCGAGCTTCCAGGGCTCCTGCCTCCTCTTCCTCTTCTTCCTCCTCCTCCTTCTCCTCCGCAGAGGATCCAAGTGGCAACCCACTGCAGCATCCTCGGGAAGTGGGCCCTTCCAACGGGCGAGGTTTCCCTCGCCCGCTGCAGTACGGCGGCATGCCCAGCCCCGTGCCACATCCCGGGCAGATGGTAAGGAGTGTTTCTGTTGGTGTGCATCAATGGGCAAATGGAGGGAGAATAAAACTGTCTCTTCTAGATTCCCCCACTGTGTGACAAGAGTCTTTCCCCAGGGACTGAGAGTCAAAACTATGTTTTTTAGAAGTTAAGCTTTTCATCCCCTAGATTTACACGAATTCAGCTCAGTCTTCCCACCTCTCCATGTAGCTTTATGGGGGAAAAGAGGATTGGAAAGAATATACTCCATCTTAAGGGCAGCTGGGGCTAGAAAAGTAACTACTGTTGAAGTGAGAGGCAGTTCCAGATCAATGCCTCGTTAGTTAAGAACAGTCTTCTAACTTCTTGCTTAGCCAGCATGCACCCATGCATGCGTGGGCCAGCACTGTCCCCCACCTTTTTCCTCTCCTTGGCAAGTTACGCCATTATGCCTGTAAAGTAGTCACATTCCCTCTTTTAACCTCCGTTTTATGATGCTGAGCAAGCCAGTTGTCTTTTGTCTCAATTGTTTACGGCTGCCTGGTAACTTTGTGCCATCTGTGTGCTACCGCACTTCGTGCTTTGAGTATTTATAAAAGCAGTAAACAAAACTAAACACAAGGCTGCCCTGGACTGCTGTAGTGACCTCTGTTTAGCCTGACATTTCTTCTGAGTGCCACCTGTTCTGCCTGCCTTACGGACTGTTCCTCAGCCATCCTTTACGGACTTTTCCATTTATCCAGTGACGTCTGGTGTCAGTGACGTGTGGCATGCTGTATCAGCTGCTCCTCAGAGATCCAGTGTACTCCTTTTTTTTTTAGGTGGAAGTCAAGTAAAATTATCAGAGCATCCCTTGTGATGCAAATAGTGGTAGCCAGCATGAAAGGTGGAGCCTACAAGTATTTTGAAAGACATCTAGCATGTTCCCCCTTCACTCTGCTCGCTCTCTGATGAACCCATACTCCTGAGATCTGCCCTTCTCCTTGAAGCAAACCACTGCCCTCTCCAATCTTCTTGCTTGTTTCCAACTAGTTAGGTGAGAGGTGGATATCCTGAGGCCTGAGTGCAGGGGACACATGCTAGGGATGTGAATGAGGGTGGCTCTTCAGTAAGGAGCTGTGCCGTCCCATAGGGATGTCTCCAGGTTTATCATGATATCTCCAAAAAGCCTGTTTGCCTTTCTGCGACATTCCTCCAGCCCTAGTTTCTCCTTACATATAGCTATTCTTGCTTTGCTGCTTCTCACAAGTGGTTTCATTTCTCTTCCTCACACCACTCCCAGAGACCAGCTGTGCCAGGGGCTTTTGGCCCTCTGCGTGGATCAGATCCAACTAAGTTGTATGGCTCACCACGAGTCCCAGAGCCCCATCCTGGAGATCCGGTTCAGTTTTTTTTTTTTGCCATGCAGGTAAAAGCTTTCAGAAATTCTGTGATCTCTTTTCATAAGAGGCCACACTGGAGGCTTCGCTTCCCCTAGGAATGAGCAGTTGGCACCATCAGTCCATTCCTGTTTCTTCCTGTGGCTCTTGCAGTGGGATGGCTCTCATAAAAACCTACCCTTTCTCTCTCTGCCTTGCAGCCGGCTGTGGGGCTGAACGAACACCGAGGGCATAGGTTGGCCACCCCCGAGAAGCAGGTGTGTGCAGGACCGACGCACGTCGCTGGCCTCGGCCCCCGGCCCGGAGCCCTGCAGCTGGGGCGGATGAGCGGCCCCCCTCCCGACGCTGTGTACCCGCCAGCGCAATTCCAGCAGGGATTTCTTCCTCCGAGACACAATGGGCCTCCGATGCGGCCGCCGGGGCGCT